CATACACACACACACACACACACACACACACACACACACACACACAAACACACACACACACAAACACAAACACAAAGAAAAACAAGTATAGAATAGAAAAAATATAAAGCTAGTGTTTTTTTAAATAAAAAAAGAAGAGAAATAAAGTAGAATTAAAATAGAATAGAAATGTAAGCTATGAAGTTACCAAAAAGACAATTAAATCTGCCTTAAAATTGTGCATGCATTTAAGTATTTGTTATATATGAGTCACATTTAAGAACATGTCTCTGAAATGCAGTGGTTTTCCAAACTGTCCTGGAGCAGCCCAGCACAGTCTCCCTCATCTAACACAGATTCAACTCGTCAGCTAATTAGTAGAGACCTGAAGCATGCCAGAAAAGGTAAAGAGTTGTAAGAAAATACGATGTCAGATACGCATCATGTTCAGCAGCAGCAGCTCTTAAAGCAGCCAAAGTAACCTAATAACCCAGCTGCTGTGATATCTGTTCATCAAAGAACAAAAGAGGAAATCAATAACTTTTGTAGCTTTAAGGATTCATCTATATTTAATTTAGAATTTAGTGTTAGATAACTTTATTCAATTTCTGTATATTTTTAAATAGTTGTATCTCGGCCAAATATTGTCATATCCTAACAAACCATACATCAATGGAAAGCTTATTTATTTAGAAAAATTGACCCTTATGACTGGTTTTGTGGTCCAGGGTCACATATGTCAGTAAAAATGAATTTTCTTGTCCTGTCAGCCATTATACTGTGCTTGTAGCACGTGCTCTTCAATTGCATGCACGTGCTGTGTGTTATTTCATATTAAAGCGCAAAAGAAACTACGAGCATGCAATGTAGAAGTTATGTTGCCAATTAAGTCATGAAGTTTACATTTACATTTAGTCATTTAGCAGATGCTTTTATGTAAAGAGTTGTAAGAAAATACGATGTCAGATACGCATCATGTTCAGCAGCAGCAGCTCTTAAAGCAGCCAAAGTAACCTAATAACCCAGCTGCTGTGATATCTGTTCATCAAAGAACAAAAGAGGAAATCAATAACTTTTGTAGCTTTAAGGATTCATCTATATTTAATTTAGAATTTAGTGTTAGATAACTTTATTCAATTTCTGTATATTTCCTACTTGCTGAAGGGCACAGGTAGCTAAATATGACATTTATTATAATGGATTTATGTGAAGATTGTTTTAAGTTCACTTAAATAAAATGTTATTTTTTCAAAGTCTAATACATGTTAGAATTGATAGCTCTCAATTATACTGTAATGTTTAATGGCTATAGTCAATGGTTAAATATTAGGAACAAAATAATTTCATAGAGACATCAGTAGTGTTGGTATTAGTGACACTCGCCGTCAGTCAAAAAAAACAAAACAAAGATGCCATTAAACAATTTTATGTTGTTATGTCTTTATGTTGTTTGATTAAATGTGAAATTATTGCAATATAAAAGTATATTTAAAAACTTTAATGTTAGATGGGATTAATCGCAATTAATTGTAATTTCAGAAACAATATGAGATTAATTAGTTACATTTTTTTAATCAATTGACAGCACTAGCAATTTGGTTATGTGCTTTTGTCATTTGTATTAGTTTTTTTTAATGGTTTCATTCTAATAGTTCATTTGTTTTATTTCAGTTTTTGTTTTATTTTGGTTTAAGTTTTATTTCAGCTAGTAATTTTAGTATTTCAAGGCAACATTTTTGTTTAGTTTTTTAACATTATATTTGTGTTTTATTTTAGCTTTATTTCAATTAACAAATGTTTTTAATCGTTTTAGTATTAGTTGAGGGTGAGCAAATGATGACAGTGATTTTGCAATTTCATTTGGCAATGTTAGTATCCAGAAATCACAAACTTCAGCTTTAATGTAATTAACAATCTCATCAAAATGTCTTAAAACTATTTGTTTGATTTCAGGTATCTTGGCATCACCCGCCCTTTGACCTACCCTGCTCGACAAAATGGCCAACTGATGGCAAAGATGATCTTTGGTGTGTGGCTTGTGTCTGCCTCAATCACACTGCCGCCATTCTGTGGCTGGGCGAAGAACGTTAACACGGCTGGCGTTTGCCTAATCAGCCAGGACATCAGCTACACCATCTACTCCACCGCCGTGGCCTTCTACATCCTAATGAAACTATGGTTCATGTTTTGGCCTCATCTCTCAAGAATCAGTGTGAATCAATTATATATTTTCATTTTGAAATATGGAGTAAATTCTGGTGAATAGGGACACTTTAAACGGTAAAATGTTTAATTTTTACCAAAAAAAATGTGACCAATATTACCTTAATCAACCCTATGTTTAATCAATGTTTGTGCAGCTTGCACTAAAATAATGATATCCTAAAATATCCTTCTATACATTAACATGACATGTTTGTTCTAAATTCACAGTAATTAGCTCTTTTTTGCTGTCATACATTGATGGGGTGTGATTATAGGAATGCTCTTGGCTGTTATCTTCTCAAAGCTGTCAATTTTCTCATCATAACAATAGATTCTGCAATGTGGAACAAAAATGTAAACCTTCACACCTGCCTCCGTGTTTAGCCAGTCATTGGTTCATTTATCTGCATTAAGCAGAGATCATGTGGAAAAAGAGACGTGTGGGCTTGCGTTCAGGGCAAACATAAAAGAACCAAGCATGAAAAAAAAAATCAATTAATAGACGGGATCATTGTGTTCAAAATACAGCATACAGCGAGAATGTTATAATGTATTATATACAGCGCTGAGGTATTCAAGGGTGTACAACTCAATAGCTCTGAATAGAACAACATAGAGCAGAAGATGGAGGAGGACGAAACATGATTGATGTATAGCAGCCTAAGACATGTCATTATCAGGTAAAGTGCCAGTACTTAGGTTTAAATTAGCCATGTGCAGTCGCCTGGAAATAAATGGTTTTGAACCTGACGACCGGTGTTTTGATGCTGCGGTAGAGCCACAGTGGATCAAGAGAATAGTTTGTGGGGAGGAACAAGGGATTGTGGGTAAAATCCTTTTTTCAAACTGCAACAACACTATAATCTGTGTTGTGACAGAAGCTGTTCATTGATGTGCCATAACTTGGATGGCGAATGGATGGATAGTATTTGTGCCTGCCAAAAGTTGTAGCTCACATTTATCTCAAGAAATCTGTGAAATGTATTAGTTTGTGCTGGTGCCTGATTGGTATCAACCAGTCTGTGATTTAGAAAAACTATCAAGGTAATACAATTAATTTTATGTGGGGTCCTAAACTCTAGAGACCACTTGTGAAAAGTGAATTTACTGTTATTACACACTACTGTTCACAGGTTTGGAATCAATAAGACTTCTTTTTTGGAAGAAATTTAGAAAAAATTAATACTTTTATTTAGCAAGGATACATTAAATGTAAAAAAAAAATCAAGTAAATGCTGTTCTTATTTTATTTATTTATTTTAGCAAAGAATCCTTAAATGCTAATAAAAAAATTTTTTTTTTACAATAATCTAAAGAACCTATTGTCATTATAAAGAACCTTTTGTGCAATGCAATTGTTCCATGGATGTTGAAGGTTCTTCATGGAACCAGAAATGCCAATAAAGAACCTTTATTTTTAAGAGTGTTCAGATCTTCAGAACTGTCTCAAAAGCCTCATGTTTATCGTTTTTAATGACCGGCAGATTGATTCTAGATGGGAATACATAGCTGGATTCATTTCAGCCACAGAGATCTGATTTCTTGGTCCATTTGGGCTTAAGATCTAATTCATGTTTACCATGAAGTAATGTCTGTTCTTCAATACAAGCCAATTTTCCAAAGAGGTTTTTGCAGTGTATCAAAATTTTGCAGTGCATTAGCGACAAACACATGTTTAGAAAAGTGATGTCTTTATCCTTGTTGAACCCTATATGCATTTGGGTTCATTCAGGAATATGAAATAATTTGGTCATTTACCAAATGAAAAGAATCCTCCACATGAAATATGTTCTCCCTGTCTCAAGTGAATATAAAATAACATGTTCTCTTAATCTCTTGCCTTTGTTTGAAATGGCACATAATCGTGGCTGTCTGGTAATTGTGTTCAGATCTCATATGCATTTGAAGACAGCTTAAGAATGTCATGCACATCTTGGTGCTCAAACACAATATGGAAAGCCAGCCAGATGGTGCCAAACCTGAGATCTGAAAGCAGAAAGTGCAATAAAGAACCTTTATTTTTAAGAGTGTTCAGATCTTCAGAACTGTCTCAAAAGCCTCATGTTTATCGTTTTTAATGACCGGCAGATTGATTCTAGATGGGAATACATAGCTGGATTCATTTCAGCCACAGAGATCTGATTTCTTGGTCCATTTGGGCTTAAGATCTAATTCATGTTTACCATGAAGTAATGTCTGTTCTTCAATACAAGCCAATTTTCCAAAGAGGTTTTTGCAGTGTATCAAAATTTTGCAGTGCATTAGCGACAAACACATGTTTAGAAAAGTGATGTCTTTATCCTTGTTGAACCCTATATGCATTTGGGTTCATTCAGGAATATGAAATAATTTGGTCATTTACCAAATGAAAAGAATCCTCCACATGAAATATGTTCTCCCTGTCTCAAGTGAATATAAAATAACATGTTCTCTTAATCTCTTGCCTTTGTTTGAAATGGCACATAATCGTGGCTGTCTGGTAATTGTGTTCAGATCTCATATGCATTTGAAGACAGCTTAAGCATGTCATGCACATCTTGGTGCTCAAACACAATATGGAAAGCCAGCCAGATGGTGCCAAACCTGAGATTTGAAAGCAGAAAGTGTTTAGGGAATCCATAAAGGTCATGCTAAAAGTTTCTTAAAACTGATGTGACAGGACGAGGCAACGTCTGTGAAAACGCAGCTTTTGTATGCACGTTTGGCATAACCAGTGCTTTTTTTAAGCATCCTGTGAACTATGCCACATTTTCAGAAAGAAACAGCATACATTTTGCTGGTTTGTTAAGAGCTTTGGATTTTCCCCAGCATAATGTTACTCATGCAGTGCAGTTTTAACATCTGTTCTATCTAAATGACTGCTTGTAATAAATCTATCTTGCTTGTAATAAGTGTTTCGTCAAACAAACCAAACCATAACCCTATTAACTGACCTGGGGAAACACACTTGCTGCATGAAGTACTTCCTGTTACACTTGCTGCATGAAGTACTTCCTGTTAACGTAAGTTAACAGGATGTGGGCGAAGTTGAGAAGGATTTTTTTTTATTTGTCTTTGTACAGTCATGTTATATAATGTGTCACATTTGATCACCTGAAATGTGCTTTCTCTACCTCGATTATATATTTATATATGGAATTATAAAACTGTGAACAAGTTTACGAGCCGTGAGTATTTTTTTCAGTTATGTCTGAATATCACCAACTTGGTAAACATGACGGCATGTTTTTTTTTTATTGCATTCAGGGTGAACAGTCGTAACACATACTGTGTACACACTCATTCACACACACCCTTATTGAGTCCACGCTGTGAACTAGATCGCCATCATAAAACCGTCGAGAAACAAACATCTCAATTGTTGCTGATGGCATAAACTCTCAAAGAAGCAAGACACTTGCTCTCTCTGTGGATTCCGCTGGCTGAATGACCTCCTGGAAAAGATTCCAAAATAAACATCACATTCGGTTAACAATTCATAAGTTGAGAGGTTTTACATTTTGCTGGTTTGTTAAGAGCTTTGGATTTTCCCCAGCATAATGTTACTCATGCAGTGCAGTTTTAACATCTGTTCTATCTAAATGACTGCTTGTAATAAATCTATCTTGCTTGTAATAAGTGTTTCGTCAAACAAACCAAACCATAACCCTATTAACTGACCTGGGGAAACACACTTGCTGCATGAAGTACTTCCTGTTAACGTAAGTTAACAGGATGTGGGCGAAGTTGAGAAGGATTTTTTTTTATTTGTCTTTGTACAGTCATGTTATATAATGTGTCACATTTGATCACCTGAAATGTGCTTTCTCTACCTCGATTATATATTTATATATGGAATTATAAAACTGTGAACAAGTTTACGAGCCGTGAGTATTTTTTTCAGTTATGTCTGAATATCACCAACTTGGTAAACATGACGGCATGTTTTTTTTTTATTGCATTCAGGGTGAACAGTCGTAACACATACTGTGTACACACTCATTCACACACACCCTTATTGAGTCCACGCTGTGAACTAGATCGCCATCATAAAACCGTCGAGAAACAAACATCTCAATTGTTGCTGATGGCATAAACTCTCAAAGAAGCGAGACGCTCTCTCTGTGGATTCCGCCGGCTGAATGACCTCCTGGAAAAGATTCCAAAATAAACATCACATTCGGTTAATAATTCATAAGTTGAGAGGTTTTAAGTCTAATAACAAAGCTGGGAGGAATAGAGAGCTTTTGGGAGCCTGGAAAAAATCTCAGGCTCTTAGAAACGCAGAATGAGGACTGTGACCCAAAAAGGCCTTTTGTTCTTCTCCCAGCTTGCAGGGAAATATTTTATTCAGAGGTTGTGTGGCAGATGTGCTGCCGAAACAGCAGTTCTGATGGGCACTTAGACAAGGAGGTGTGGCTGATGTATACAGGGAGAAAAGCAATCAGAAAGACAATGCATGTTTGTGTCGAGTCGCGCATCCTCTATAACTCGATCTGCAGAGGGCAAACCTCGGCACACTTCACCTAGAGATTAGGTGTTATTAGAGGGGCTTGCCAAGGCAAGCATCCCTACTGTTATACCTCATACTTATACTAATGAATTTGAGCAAACTCCTAACCCCAAGTATTTAACTTTTGGACTGCGGAACTGAGATGAATGATAGCTCAAATCATGTGGTTTGTGAGGAGGTCTGCTATTACGTTTCTAAGTGATTTGATTTTTGGCTAGGAGATGGTAAAAAGGTCATCTGGAGGAAGAACCTGTGCTGTATTAGGGATATCAATATCAAAGAGACTTGGGGGTGAGCTCTTTTGACATTAGCAACCACAAAGCATCACACTAGGAACCACTCAGAAAACCATAGCGTCATGGAAAGTGGTAAGCACAAACAAAATAAAAAGGGTATGAGCACATAAAAAAAAATAAAAAAAATTCCAAAAAGGCCTTCAAAAAGAACGAATGGAAAGTACACTGCAACAGTGCTCTCAACAGTGCTCCATTTTAATAATAGACAAACCGTTTCAACCCTTTCAGTCTTCGTCAGGTAGTCTTGAAAGTCTTTAAATACAAACATCCGAGTAGATGTGGACAACAAGACAGCAATTAACCATTAAATACACATAGTACTAAATAAAAAAAGAAAAAGAAATTTAAAAAGTACACCACACGTTTTACAAAACAGTACAATAAAATACAATACCAAATTAATCAGAAAAAAAGGTTTCAAATTAAAGTCCAAATTAGGTCATTTGTGTGCTAAAATTTGTAGTGTACATAATATAAACGCCTCTCTTTGTAACAGTAATTTGGGCCCATGTGGTTTGACCTATACAGAAAAACCACAAGAAGTTTAAAATAGGGACGAACATAGAAGCAATAGATGTCTGGATGAAACACAATTTGTCCTCTTTGTGACTGATATATTGATAGTGAACAAGTTAAGATACAGAAAAAAAGGGGTAACAACACCAAAACTACTTTTACTAAAAGAGACTTTACATATTTTTATATATTTTTCATTTACATTTTGATTAGGAATATTTGGTGATTATTTGATATTGCTTTGTATAGTGTTTGTGTGTGTGTGTGTGTGTGTGTGTGTGTTATTCGTTTTATACTTATATTGTTCTCATTGTTTAGTCCGTTCAGTTTGAGAGTCTTACGTGAATGACTTGCACAGACAAACCCTGCTTACAGTGTACAAAATGTACAAAAAATCTATTTTTTTTTATTAGATTCCATTTATGAGTAAATATGTTTACATGCATTTTAAAAGTCTGGTTTTAGTCTGACTAAAGCAGTAATTTATATTTTTAAAATGTAACCAGTTGGCATTAGTGTTGCCTGTTTGCTCCAAAAGCCAGAAGTGAATCACAACATTCATTAAATACTTGAAATATTAAGTATTTGATTATGCATTGTATACTTGGTCAAACAGATTAAGACTGTAGTGCATGTAAACATACTTATTGATTCCCAACCATCAGGATCCAAAAGTAAAATCAAACTGTTTCCAGGTTGAGTAAAACTAGTGTCCAAAAACAAAAAATATGATTTTGTTCATTTCCTGGTGGGGTTTTTATGAGAACATTTCTCTAATCACCCCCCATAAATGTTTAAACTTTAAAAGGAGAACATGCTTGGTGGGTATTCATAATAGTATTGATTGTTTTTTGTAAAAATGTATTTTTAAAAAAGTGTAAAAATGGGCACTTAAAAGTAATGACAATGCTAAATTATATTCAGTGGAATAAAGGGAGCCTGATGGTAACCAATAAAAAAAAAGATTGGAAAACAAAACATTAAAACATCAATAAACTTCATATATAACTTATTTTCTAGACTTTAAAAGCACACAATACAAATGATTCCTCATTTGCAATTTTGAAACAACCTACATAAAATAAGGAGTGCTGCATGACATTGCTGAACTATAAAAAGAGCTTAAAGAGCTGTTGCAGGTGAAACCATTAAACTCCTAAAGCACGCTTTTGCATGATGCAGAGCTTTAGGTTTAAGTATTCCAGCCTTTAATGCATGCACTCAAATATATAGAGCAACGGGCAAAAGATCAAATGTGTAAAAGCGCAGTTTTCTATGACCCACTTAAGTAGTGTCACAAAGCAGTCTTGAGTGTATGATTGGTACTTATAATGAGAAATGGAGAGAAGCAGAGCACACACACACACACACACACACACACACACACACACAAACAGCCTCAAGGAGAGATGAAGAGGGTCACAGCATAACAAGAATTCAGTGTATATACTGGTGTTTAAAGACGAAAGTGGAAAAGTGCATAAGAGGGTGAATTCTATTTTTATCATATCTAGACCGGGACTCCCAGTTTGTCTCAGAGTCAGCATGCAGTCTCACACAGATAATATGTATTTTCTAGACATTAAAATCACAAGATAGAAATTAGTCCTCATTCGCAATGTTGAAATAACCTACATAAAATAATAATTATATAAACAAGGAGTGTTGTAATTATCTACTGTATAG